GGGGGGGGGGGGGGGTGTTGGGGTGCATGAGGCTGGGGATGAGGCTGCTCTCCCCGTACGCATGTTCACGTCTGTGTTTGCTGCACCTCTCCACATGAACCAAACCTGTTGGCCTTTGGACTCTGAGTGTCTGCTCCTTCCTTTTTTCACTTGTTATTTATTCGACAGATGAACCAGAATGTGACTGAACTGAAGAGCTGGAACTTGTCGTGCACGTTGAGATGTTTGGCTTTGTGACGTAGGTTGCGTCTGTGTGAAACTAAGAAAACAGTTTTGGAGGTTAAGCCCTTCTTATGAGCTCTTCTAGGCGTGGAATAAGCGGGTATCCCCTCTGTCTGGACCAGACAGGAGCCGGGTCCGCTGCCTTTGTTTTCTTTTCAAATTCCAAAGTTGCATTTAGTCTGACTCAGTGTTTTTTCTTCCTTTCTCTTCTCTCTCTGCCTCACAGGCCTTTTCCTTCACTTTCTCCATATATTTCATCTGTTTGTCATTTTTCCACTTGTTCCAAGTCTCCATTTCTTCTGTTTCTCCTCCACCAACGACTTCTCTGACTCCTGTCTCTGCGTACAGAGGCGGCCCCCGATGGGCTTTCCTTTACTGCCATTTTTTGGGGTGATGAGGATCGGTTGGTGTGGGTGAGGTGTTGTGGCGGGGGCCAGCGGCGGTGAGCAAAGGGGGGAAAAGGGCCAGTAAAACAAAGAGAGGTTGTCTGCAGGAGAAGCAGGCAGGAAACGAAAGTCTCCCAGGACTCTACCCCCCCCCCCCCCCCCCCCCCCCCCCCCCCCCGTCACTGCTCCTTGGCTATCATGCAGCCCACACCAGATTGGAACTGACAGTCCCTCTGAGCCACAGCAGCATTCTTGGTATTTGTTCCTCCTTTTCCTCTCTTTGTGTGAGTGTTTCTTTTACACTTTCTTTAATTTGATTAAATTATATTTTTTATTTATTTTATTTTAGTTTGAAATCCGGTGTATTTTATTTCACTTTATACAATCATGGACAGACTTTTCCTGCATTCACTGGCATCTTGTCAGCAGATTTTATATAAAAAAATATATTCTTTTGCTGAAGCGTAAGGTGTAGAGAAAACAATAAAAACAAGCAGGTTTTTAAAGGAAATGTGAAATTGTACTTTTTAGAGGATATTCTGTTTATAAAAAGAAGAAAACTGAGAAACCAAGAAACATTTTAAATTAGCAGATTTTTTTCAGTTTTATGTGGATGTAGATTTTTTAAATACTCTAAAACACATTTAGTTTCAGTAGTTTTAACTATTACTGTTATTGCTATTAAGACTGTTGCTGTATTTGTAATGGCTCGTTTGCACATTGCCCAGGACATTTTTGACAAAAAGTATTAATAATATCAATGGGTTTATTTTCTTGTAAAATAAAGGTTTAAATAAATAATAATAAAAAAAAAAAAACTATAATAGCTGGAGTTGTCATTTTGTCCACCAGAGGGCAGTGTTGTAGTGTGAAGAAATGTCTGCACAGGTGGAAAAACCAAAACTATACTCGAGTCAAGACGGCACCAGGAAAAGGCATGCACACTAAAAACACAAAGAATAATTTACTAGCTGTGCTTAAAATGATTACTAACTCTGACAGATCACCTGGAATCCTCATGCTTAAGTTAATTTTTGTAACGTTATAATGTGAAGCAACAGATTCTGCATATCTGCAGATGAACAGTAAAAGCTTGGCTTTTAAAACAAATATCATTGTACAACTTTTTGTGCCCGTTTTGACAAAACTCGCAGAGATGTATCTAGCCACAAACTGCCAGTTATTTGTGCAGTTTTTAACGGTTTAATATTCAGAATGCACTGTCTGGAAATTAAATTGCCTCTTGACCTCCCAGCAGTGTGCTGATCCCATCGACATCAACGTTACATCGTCTCTATCAGCAGTCCTCTGAGGGGAACACTGCAGACAGAAAGAACTGCTCACTATGCTAACACTCAAACACGTCAGACCACAGTAATGGTAATTTTCCTTGGGTTTTAGCCCGTAATAATGGATATAATTATTAGTGCCAGCCAGGTGCAGTACAGGAGTACATCTGTGTGTTACAGCCAGCCTCGGCTGCATGCTCCTGTGTCAGGGTGATTGATTGTTGGTGGATTCTGTCCAGCTGTATGCGACAGACACAGGCTCAGGCGGGTCTCATCCATATTGGGTCAGTTTTACCATTCATCTTTTACGAAAGCTGCCTGCGTGTACTTTGAGTGTGTTGTACGTTAATTTGCATCAGGCCCTTTATTTGTGGTCAGAGTGTTGCAAGCTGCTCAGTCAACGGCACTCCATTTGAAAGATTGTGCCGCTGACATTTTATCCACGATGGTGAGCCAAACAGAACCACATGACCGTGTCCAGATATCCTGTACGGAAACCATTAACACTTCTCTGATGGATTTATTTGGGTTATTTACTGTCTGTTACTGCTACATTCCTCTGACGATCTTAAGCTCTGTTTGGGGTTGTGTTTGTGAGCTTAGCGCAAAGCAGTAGTTCAAATCTTTTGAAGTGGGGTTCTGTGGAACAATTATGAACAATTAATTTCTCATTTAGTGGTTTTAATAGCTTCAGTTCAGAGACACAATGTAGTGCATTGTACATAGTTTTTGTCTATGCATTTTGTAGCTTATCAATCCACACATTTCTCTGCGTTTTACAACTTTTAGTCTACTTATCCATGTGTTTACAACTTTCATCTATCCATGCATGTTATAAGTTATTTATCTGAGCAGTTTCCCACCTTCATCTTTACGCTAGATTCTCAGTCATCCAGGAGATGTTAAATTAAAAAAAAAAAGTTCAAGACAAAACAAGTGGACTTTATTTTGTAACAGAAGACGTTTCGCTTCTCATCCGAGGAGCTTTCTCATATCAAAGAACAGAGAGTGTGGGGTTCGAGTTATAAAGCTGAGCTAAGCTAGATACATATGCAGATTGCCCTTTCAGTCCTCACAGTAGAGGTTCGTTAGGGTCTTTGTTAGTTTGACTCACAGTGGAGATGAGGATTCTAGGTGATGTTTATCTTTAAATCTCTGAGTGATGGTCATGCTGTCTGAACGTATCTGTTGTGATTGTGTTCTGATGTGTGCATTGATGCCTGTATGTTTATTTATGTGTGCTTTGCTGCTAATGTTGTTTATTTCTGTTGTGTTGCACTGTAGGTCTGATTGTGTCCTTTGAGTTGTTGCAGCTGCTACTGCTCTATTTTTTTAATTGCCCTCTTGGGGGTAGATAAATTGAATTGAATTGAAACAGTTTCATTCTGATCAGACTGGTGAGCTAACAGCTAGCTAGCTGCAAGTTAAGACCAAAGTAAATTGTTGCTGTCCTATAAAAAACAACTGCAATTTCAAGTCTTACAGCATTTTATGTTAAACATCTTTGACAAACCCTTACATTGCCATCAGTTTCATATAATGTGGTGGTTTATGAAGACATAACTGTTAGCATAGGCCTACCTGGTGCAGTCTGGGCACTTCACTGTATGAAATTAAAGACCATGTAAAGATTTAAGAAACACTTTTCCGATGACTTGTATAAAGACAGAAATCTACTGAAGTCTTGGCCTTTTAGTGTTTACTTGCTGAGATAACTAACTGTCTGTTAGCTTGTCCATTCTTCAGCCCTGATCTCTTTTTCTGTAAACTCTTTCAAAGAGCTGTCTACAACAAGATTTATTGCCCTATTCAAAAAGGCAGTGTAAACTTTTATTTTGTATATTTAACTAAAGCCTTGTCGTTGTTTTTCTTTTATCTCATCAGACCCTTCATATGATGCTGTACGGCGAACAGGTTGGTCCAACAACATGCACAGTGGCAAAGGTGAGGTCACAGCTTTCCTCAAAGATCTCCTCAACAAACTGTTGCAAGGGATGCAATTTTACTTTTCACCAGTCAAACAGAACTTTATCACTGACTATAAAGCACCAGTTCCAGCTCTTAAACAGTTAGCTGATACTATTATCCCAAGTCTGTAACCCAGGAGGTGAAACGCTAACACCCAGAGTCTAGACATGTGGGGCAGACTCCTACAGATTACACAGGCCAAAGAAGTTAGTTTAGCCTCTGCCTTATTTACTTTGGAGCCCTGCTGACATGCCTTCAAGATGTCTAGTTTGGTTATCTCTGGCCACCCCCATTAATGTTTTCTCTACATCTTTTATGTCTCCCTCTCTGTCTCCCACTTGGCAACCAATGATTGCCTCTGTCTCTCTCTGCAGGCTCACCCGTACTAAACCAGAATGTGACCAAGTCCGCTGAGCAGCCCAGAGCTCAGCCAGGTAACTGCTCATTCTACATTGTTAATGGCCAGTGTAGTTACCATTCATTCAACCTTAATTTATACAGATAAACCACATTGAGCCTCAAAGACTCATTTACAAGTGAGACCTGTTTGTACCAGGGACAGGACACACATTTGTTAGTTATATAGCAACTTTGTTTTGTATCGGACGGCTTAAAAAGTTTGTTTCCTGTCATTATGTTGATACTCGGGACAGCCAAGTGTAATTACAAGGTGTTTACAATAGAATCTTATCTGGATACACTGGCTGCAATGGTCATGTCTGTACGAGAACATTCACAAGACCCAACTGTTTATTTTAAACCCGTTACAAACCAGTAGAAGCAGAAGTATGAAGAAAACAAGCACCATCAGTCTTGATAATGAAAAATCTGCTGGTTTTGTTGCATTTAGTCTCACTGTTGAGGCTACACTATAATTATGGTAAACATGAACGTTTAGTGTTGATTTTTTCCTCAAGATCAAATATAGTGCTGTTCAACTTAGTGATGATGTATCACAGATTACCAAACTTCCCTATTTATCCACAGATCCTTACCAGATTCTGGGGCCCACCAGCAGTCGTCTTGCTAACCCAGGTTAGACATGGCTAAGACTTTCTGTTCTATCTGCTGGAATCAGACAGATTCTTCAGTCCATGACTAAAATAACTTTTTAGTGACTAACAAAAATGTGCGTTTGTGTCAATTACCAGGGTCAGGTCAGATCCAGCTGTGGCAGTTCCTCCTGGAGCTCTTGTCTGACAGTGCCAACGCTGGCTGCATCACTTGGGAGGGAACCAATGGCGAGTTTAAAATGACAGATCCGGATGAGGTGGCGCGGCGCTGGGGCGAGCGTAAAAGCAAGCCCAACATGAACTACGACAAGCTTAGCCGTGCACTGCGCTACTACTATGACAAAAATATCATGACAAAGGTGCATGGCAAGCGCTATGCCTACAAGTTCGACTTCCACGGCATTGCTCAGGCGTTGCAGCCACACCCCACCGAGTCCTCCATGTACAAGTACCCCTCAGACCTCACCTATGTGCCTTCCTACCATGCCCACCAGCAGAAGGTCAACTTTGTATCTCCGCACCCTCCATCCATGCCAGTCTCTTCCTCCAATTTCTTTGGACCAACTGCTCAATACTGGAGCTCACCCACTGCAGGCATCTACCCGAACCCAAATGTCCCTCGCCATCCTAACACTCATGTGCCCTCCCATCTGGGCAGTTACTATTAAATCAACCATCCTGATCATTGACCAGCTTTGAAAATCCACCATTCCCACCATTAAATCCACAATTGCTGACCTGCACTCCTAATTCCACCAAAGCCTCAATTAAAATTCAGCTGAAAAATACAATAAATTGAGTGTTTTTGCGTATAAAATGTTATAAACAACTGGATACTATGGTCCAAAATGGAATACTACTTACTTTTTCAAGATTAGCAACTGATTGTTTTATAGATGCACATCTGAGTTTCCTGTGCCTTTTGTTGCCATTTACCTGAAAGCTTCAACTGTAAGTCAGTACATGTTCCTTTTAAAAGTGCCACAAAGCCCAAAGAAAGGTGATGAATTTGAGGTTGCTTGCCTTTTCGCTGCGCAAAAGTACCAGACATGGACCTGTTACTTATGGGTCTCAATCTACACCTTTCTCAGTAAACATTGTACATTAAGCTTGAAATAATCTGCCTCTGTTGCTTGTCTTCTGCTATTTTCTGATGTGTTCTCTTGTGTCCATCTATTTCCGTCTATGCATCTTGGTATATGCATGTGGAGAGTTCCTTAGAATTTGGTGGACATGGAGGAGCTGTCCTGAACTAGACTTTTCTTAGCACTGAATAAAAATGTGGCAACTGGAAAATGCCAATCAATAAGCCAAACTGGAAGGCCAAAGATCTGATGAAAAGTGAGATGCTATAAGATGAAGCGCTGTATGTTTCGTTGGCCTGTATCAGCTGAGCCACCTAAAAAGTGTTTTCATTGTGTTTGTGTGGCGCTGAAGGAGACGATGGGGTGATATGTGCAGGGACGTTGAGTCAGTTGTGTTGCAGACGCCAAGCTGAGGTAAAATTGCAGCAATTTGCAACAGTAATTGTGCCCGGATCAAATGTTTTCAGTGGGCCACACACAGAGATGGTAAGCGTTTGCTGTGCTGTTGCCTCTCAACCATTTCAAGACCGTTTGTTGCACCACCATATCAGTATTAATGTGAATGTCTTCTGGTTTGTGAAATGTGTGCAAGGAGAAACCTGATGAGCTTATTTAAAAAAAACACTTTTACTTAAATTTATGAATTTAAAACATGCAAGTCCCTTCTGTTTATGTGATTTTGTTGGTATTGTTTTATTGGAAGTTGTTATAAATGCCTTAAGTTTTCATCATGCTCAGAATCAAAGCCCTGGTGCCAAGCTTTAACTGCTGATTTATTGCATCTGCCATCGTTTAAGGATAAGACAGCACACACAAAAAAAGGATTTTTGCCAAACTTTTTTGATTTTAGCTGCCATATTTGTAGGCCAGTCAGCACCATACCAGTGAAAGCAGAGAAGCGAGAGTCACATTGCATTTTCAGCAGGCCGGGATCCTAAAATGAAAGCAATGCGTTTCTTTTAATGTTATTTTCAGGAATCTTAAAGCCTGGCAAAATGCAAACGAATCTCAAGTCAAGATTTCTTCAACCAATGTCACAGATTGTCAAAAAATATACCTGTCTTTAGGTGGTCAGAGCTGTTAAAATCATCAATATTTCTTTTGAGTAACTGAAAACAGACACTTGAAAATGAAGTACTCGGAATTAAGTACTTTATTGGAGAGCAATGACCAATGAAGTATGACGAGATGAAGCAAAGAAATCCTCAGATTCGCAAACGCTGTGCGTTTGTCAGACCTATTTTTTATTATTTTATAAACATCAGTCAACTAGGCATTAAGCATCTTACTGTATAAATTATGCAGAGTTATTTTCATATGTGACACAGTATAAAAAGTCAAGATAATTAATACGAGTTGACCTCGGTCAAAATGCAAACCCTTTGATTCCATTTCTGATACGTAGTTTGTTAAGCATTTGAGAGGATTTGTTTTTTTTATATCTGTACATTTGGGCAATGCATTTTTGTTTTCCTAATGCTGATTTAGTCTTTTTTTTACTGGTTGTAAAGTCTAAGTGCCTTAAAGTGTAAAAGATATCTTTGTATATATATAAATGTATATTGTATTCCAAAAACCACAAATGCCTTTGAAGCCAAACAGTGATTTCTTTCCTCTGGATGCAACAGATTCCATAGTTGTATACCTTTAATGCCTTAAACTCATCACTGACCCTGTGCTTTAAAGGTTTTCAGGTATTTTTATACCCAGTAAATCAGTATTATTCCTAACATCCAGCTCTTGGTGCAGACGTATAGCTTAACTAAAAAGGGAACATGTCTTTTGTAGCATAAAGAATTATTCTAATGTACCCTCAACATTAGGTCATGTTTTATAAGCATTATAAATGAAAAGGGATCTATGCTACTTCATGTATGCAATGTATTTTGGATATAATGTGTATATCTTTACAATTATGCTGTTTATTAATATTATTATTATTATTAATAATATTATTGTAATTCCTGCATTGTATGAAGTAAAACCTTTCGAAAAAGGGCTTTTGTATAGGAAAATGTGACCAAATAAATGTTTTTACCTCTCTAAGAAGCTGTCCTGCTTTTGACTCCCAACAGGACGTCAGCTCAAATGAAAGCTCCTTCAATACTACTACAGATATTTTTGAAATAAAGAATTTTTGCTGAGATTGATCCTCCTGTCCACAAACAAATGAAGCTTTTGATCAAAAGTGCTTTTTAAAGTGGAGAATTGGAGAAAACTCAGTTGTTTGTGTAAACCTGCAGCCCTGAAATACAGAGCTCACTGAGAAATGTCAGCCTATTTGGAGCCAGTTTTACCATCATCCATCCATCCATCCATCCGTCCGTCCGTCCATCCATCCATCCGTACGTACGTAAATACGTACATTCATACGTACATATATCCATTCATCTTGTTCTGAAGTCGGGTCTTGGGGCAGCAGCTTGAGCAGGGAGGTCCAGACATCTCTTTCCACAGCCACCAATTCCAGCTCTTCTGGGAGGACTCCAAGGTGTTCCCAGACAGCTGACTAGTGATATTAGAGATAGGGTAAGAAGTTCAGTAATCCAGAAGAGACTCGAAGTAGAGCCACTGCTCCTCCACATCGAGAGGAACCAGTTGAGGTGGTTCAGACGTCTGGTAAGGATGAACCATGGGCATCTCCCTAGGGAGGTGTTTTTGACAAGTCCAACTTGGGGAAGACCCTGAGGAGGACCCTGGACACGCTGCAGAGACTAGGGAGAGTCCAGCCACCCTGCAGAGAAAACCTATGTAGACCACCTGGATCCACAATCTTGTTCTTTCAGTCACTATCCAGGGTTCAAAATCAAAACTGAAGGTAGCAACGTGGACCATCTGGTAAACAGAGAGCTTCTCCTTGCATCTCAGCTCCCTCTTCACAACAACAGATTGACACAAAGTCCACAATACTGCAGAAGCTGCACCGATCCATCTGCCATTCTCCCTCTTCATTCTTCCCTCATTGTGAACAAAACCCAGAGATACTTTCACTCCTCCACTTGAAGCAAAACCTCACCCCACAACCAGGAGAGGACAGTCTACCCTTTCCCCACTGACAATCATGATCTCAGCTTTGGAGGTTCTGATCCTCATCCCAGATGCTTCACACTTGGTTGTGAACCGCTTCAGTGAGAGATGAAAATCATGGCATGATTGCACTAACGGGACCATATCATCTGCAAATATCAGATGGAATCCTGAGGCCATAGAGCCAGACTCCCTCCGTCCCTGGCTGCACTGATATAGTCTGTCCATAAAGGTTAAGAACAGATTTTGACCTGTTTATGTATGTGTTTATTTATTTAACTTTATACAGATTATATCTCCATTAAACTTTGATCATGGGGTATAACACTCATAGCTCAAAGAAAATCGTGAGCATGATCAAAGAACAAAATTATTAATGTTTTTGAACAACAGAGATGCCATTTGATGCCAAGGTATGAATCCCTCGCAATAAACAAGGGACTACTGTATCTGATTTTACTTGCTGTTATTTTACTATGTCAATGAGTGTGACAATTGTGCTATTCCCAGATAGACCAATGAAAACAGAGACCAAGACTCAGAATCAGTTTACAGGGTTTATTTAAGAGGTGAGAGTAATGCAATAAGCCAGACTGGAACCCTGAGGAGCAAAGAGATGGTTAGAGTCCTTGTCATCAACAGTGATATTGATATTAGGGTTCTTTCTTACAATGAAGGTCGGGGTCAGAAGTGGGGAGGGTTGACCCAAGTAGTTCCAGGCGAAGGAGGTGCATGTGTAAGGCTAGTGGTAGGAAGGTGTGAAAGCAGCTGATTAGGCATAGAGGAGCTCTAGATCCACTGAGGAGGATTCAGGAAAACAGGAGGACATCAAAGGTAACTCACTGGAGGCACAAAGAAAAATACAAGTCATTAATATTTAGTTTTGAACACTAGTAGAAGGCTAGAACAAGAATACCATTGGCAGGTCACGCTCCAGCGCTGGCTGAATCTCTTCTGAGGCCTTTTTAAGCGCCTCATGTTCATCAAGTCAAAGATCCACAGGTGGCTAATTAGAATCTGACTGTGGATGCAGAAACTGGCAAAGCAGAACTCCCCCATGAGGATTAAATATCAGCTAAAAGTTAACAAACATTTTATACTGGATGGTTAAAAAAAGCTTTGAAGACTTTTTTCTCTCTTGCTGACTTCTTTTTTGTCATGAAATCACAGGTTACATGTGTCACCTGCACTCAGGACATCTGGTTTAAGTTTATTAAAGTCTAAATTCTGGTTCTGCTAAAGCGTATGTGTCAAACTCAAGGCCCGAAGACCAAATGTGGCCCTAGTTGACATCTTATCTGGCCCCCAAGATGTTATTTTAAATGTAAAATACTTTTATCACTTTCATTTTTTTCAGTAATCTTTGATTGTGATGTCAAAAGTCCAGCAGAGAATGTGAAATGAAATCAATCAAACTTTTGCTGAGGAACCTGCAACCAAGAAAATATGTTGGGTATCTGATATGAGTTAATGTAGATTCTGAAACAGGCCCTTAGTTTTTTTTTTCTCTGTGCTCTGGTGAAGACAGACATGTCCTCCTCTGCTCCATCCCCCCACTTCTCTGCTTCACTCTCTTTCATCTTTCCTCGAGGCTCAATGGGATTTACCTGTATAAATAAAGGTTGATTGATCTTGTGAACCCTTAAAGAGCCCGAAACAAATTGGATTCATGATGACAACTAGATTCTGCTGTTT